GCAGTAGGGGGTGCAGTAGGAGGTGCAGTAGGGGGTGCAGTTGGAGGGGCAGTTGGAGGACTCGTGGGGGGTGCAGTGGGTGGAGATCCCCCGACGCAGTTGAGCACGCGGTTGTCTTCGTCACACGTTTCTTTCCCAGGGATGGGGCACTGGTCAGGCGTCAAATGCGGCAGACACATCATCCAGCAGCCATTTCCTCCACCGGGAATGTCCGAGCCAGTCTTGACACATTTCATGTCAAGGCATAGCTGTGCTTCGTCCGCGTGGCCCCAGATATTGCACTGACGCATGCATTCCTCTTTGGTGGCAGTGCTGCCAGGGCCGGGCGACCAAATACTCAACGTGCAGCTGCTGTCGCTAGCGCGTAGCACGCGACCCACGGGGCACGCCAACGACATGACGGATTCCTCGCCCGACGACGCTTCCGATTTGAGATGACGAGTCGTGGCTTTCGTGTACTCTCCAAACGTCACCCCCGTGTTGCGCATAATGGTTTGTGCAGGCAGTAGAAGCATACGGCCGGCAAAAGCGCGCACCACCTCGGGCGAGCCGTGGACGTCGGCCGGCATGACCATGCCATGAACGACAGGATGGAATTTATGGCCAAATTGGCCCCAGTGTTGGAGCCCTTCGCCGGCCATAAAGTACAGCTCGTCGTCTTTCAAGGTGGGGCGTACCAGGGATCCGTCGAGCTCAATGACCAGCCCTCCCGCTTTGTCTTCGGTGGCTTGCTCGAGTTTGCCGTTGGTTGTTTCGGTGAAGAAGTGTGACTTTGCAAACACAATCATCAGGCCCGCGTCCGCATGTAATTCCAGCGACAGCCGGTGGTGGGGGGCGTTGGTGGTGGTCACTGCAGGCTTGGCGTACGCGTGAAAGTGGTCGAGATGCAAACCCTCTTGCACAATCGGCGCCAGCAAGTCGGACGTCAGGTCCTTGTTGATACCATCCAAGGTCTTGGCGAATTGGGCCGTGGCGGTGTCGATGGTGGAGGCGTAACGAGCGTGGGCAATGGCGAACGCAGGGCACCGCTCGGCCACTTGGTCGTTCAGACCTTGCATGTTCATGCTGAACGTACGGCGTTGGGTGCCATCCACGAGCTCCTTCTTGAGGAGTTGATCTAAGTCGTGGGCACTGGCTGCGCAGTCGGTCGCAGTGTGAAGGTACGCCAGTCGCGTGGCTTCGAAGTCGGGAATGCCCCGGACGGCCACGATACCGGAAGTCTCGAGGGCTCTCACGAGGGCGTGCTGGCCGTCCGTTGTGATCGTATTCAGGTCGAACGACGGTACTTGGTATGGAGGGTAGTTTGTGGCACCTGCGACTGCAGCGACGAGGACGCTAACAATACCAACGGGATGCATGGCGGTTGCAGTGTGATTCAAGAATGGGATGGAAGACTGCCACATCAACAATATATTTTCTCACCCATTGCCTTCAACGCAACGACAGTAGTCCAACTTGGATAGATATGTACCACTGGGTGCATCATTTCCTTGATTTTACACGCGTCATGGTCCAACCAATGCAAGGTTCAACACTTTGTGGACCTCCTTCGAGGGTACATTAACGCTACCAGGATTCAGGAATACTCGTACTCTACCAGCAATGCGACAGCTGCATTAACTGCCTGCAGAAACTGTGGGAAATCGGTCAGAAAACCTGGATACTGTACCGTTCAGCCGAGATTGAGAACCGTTCAAGCAAATTTTCTTCCCGTAACCATGGAACCCCAGGACTTCATGCTACCCCCGCGTGTACATACTTCGAAGAATAACGTTAATGCTAAATCCCCAGGGTTAAGCGCGTCACCAGTCGTTAGGTATCGCAAACCACTGAGATAGTAAGAGTTGAGTTTGGTCAGAGTACAAAATATATGCATCGTCTAACTGTAGAGTTTATTGCATTGTTGGACGGTACTCTTTGCCTGAACAGTACCATTTTTCGCGTTACCACTAAGTCATGAACTACAGGGAATGACGTATTAAGCGCCCCCGTGGTACTTCGAATTGGCATTTCAGTTGTGTATTGGGACAAACTACTTCGAAATTTCAATACTTTAATCAATACGAAATTTTAGTACCACGGGGGCGTTTAATACGTCATTCCCTGTACTAAGGTACAGTGGAATACATACTACTAATTAAGTAATACTGTACTAGTATGTGTCTTTTGATGTTAAGATTAGATCTGCTGTTGTTAACTACTACTAGTAGTACTAGTACTACAGGAGTACTACAGTACATGTCGCAGGTCTCCAAGAGGAGTTGGTCTTGTCGCGTATAGTCGCCGCAATTATTGAATTAACTGTGAATAACGCTAGCAAGTATTAATACTACGTATTATTAACATACTAGTATTATACATGAGTACTATTTACTCTATTAATAAGTCCAAGCTTCGTCTCACAAAGGGACAGGTTACGTACTCTGTCCTGCTACTGTACTGGTACTGTACTACTGTACTACTCCGAGTAGTACGATACTAGTACTCGAAGTATGCAACACTACAAGGGTTATTGGTGAAGACAATGGAGAATTATACCCCCCGATCTGATCTTCATTCATTGATGGTCTGCATGAAGCTGACGTGTTAAGCTGTACTAGTACGTGACGCTAGGGGCAATTGTTGATTGCCACTTTTTTTATGGCGTAGTTTTCCCAGATTTCTCGTATAATACTACTGTTTATAGTAGTACCACAGTACTAGTGCAGTAGTGTAGTAGTGGTTGTCAAGAAGGGGCACTTTGGCCTGTGCGTTGGCCTCTTTGGCACATCCGGATACAGGGAATGACGTATTAAACGCCCCCGTGGTACTAAAATTTCGTATTGATTAAAGTATTGAAATTTCGAAGTAGTTTGTCCCAATACACAATTGAAATGCCAATTCGAAGTACCACGGGGGCGCTTAATACGTCATTCCCTGTATTGTGTCGTCAGGGCAGTTTTTTTACTGTCAGTTGTGGTTTTGCCAATGCAAAATCAAATCCATGAGTCAACATCGCCACAACCCACAACTCAAATGCCCGCGTCAAGACTATAGCGATCGTACTCCTTGGGAGAAAAGCTGGAGCTCCTCATCAAGTTCGACGCTCTTGGATGGAGTAGTCGTAAGTTTTGCGCGGAGTTTCTTGTCCCTCGAGCTACATGGGCCCGATGGCGTAGTCCGAAATTACTTGTCACTTATTTAGAACAATCCATATTTTCTACCGGAAAGGGCGAAGTGTATATTAGCCAATCAGATGTCTCGGCTCAGTTTGTGCTCGGTTGAACAAACCATAAAGAAATGGGAAATTTGAAGAAAATCGATAATATTTAAATCGTTTTTGCTCATCTAGTAGAGCGCAACGTTGAAATTACCCTCCTAGGTTATGGAATAAACATATCTTCACTGTCAAATAGAGTCGAAACTGCCACGAAAGTGCATCTATTATGTCAGTTTACAAAATGTATTCACGTGTTTACATTTTGTTAACTGCTAAAAATATACTGTTTGCATTTGAAAGTCAAACTGTAAATTTAATACGGTTTCATATTTTAGTTGGCCAAACTGGTTTTCGAGATTTTTCCCGTAGCCTCCGGCAAAACTGGTTTTTCACGCGTTCGGTGAAGTGATAGATCCGCGCTCTCGTACGGCCGCGCTTGCTCAGACGGCCTCCCAGGCGGTTGGGGTCAACGTAAAGCTTGGTCACTAGTTTAGGTTTCTTCGAACCAATTTCATCCGAAATCATCCACACTATTACAGTGAATGTCGAATTTTAACCACACCGATGTTTCGACATTACGGTACAAACGTGATAATTATCCAATAAGTTACTACTGGTACAATGGACGAAGAAAGTAGAGTCATCTTATTGGCCAAAATACAAGTTGTGCGCAAATATTCCTCGAATTTCGGAAGTACGCTGATCAATTCATCGCATGAATTAGGCACAACTTCGAGTGATACTGTGGCTTAAAATCCGTCGTCACTGTACTACATATTCACAATCAATAAGTATATTGTACTTCGTAGTATTAAACATACAGTACTCCGGAGTACCTCGAAGTATTATCGCAGTTTGGTATTGTGGAATTTACCCAACTTTGGACTTGTGAGTCATTTCACCAAATAGCGTTTTCGAACCCATTTGATCTCACATAAGCTTGTACAAACTATAGTATACAAAGCTTAGGATATATGTGGTTTCGCCCAATGCGGAGGGACTGGGCCCAATCAGATGATTGGATAGGCAGAAATTTGACAGGACGTGATTTGATTGGCTTAGGCAGTCCTTAAATCCATTCTCGTACTGTTAACAGTTAAGGTTACGTCTCGTAACATTTCAAAAATAATATTCCATTTTCTCGCAAAATGGGATAAACCAAAAATGCCATTTTCAAAATGGAGGTAAAAGGTCCATTTTGTAATATGGCGTTTTGGACCTCTTCAACGAGTAAGTCCCACGTGGAATTGTTGGATTTGGGTTAAAACTCTGCAAGCAAGAAATCTTTCAATTTTTGATCAGATTTGTTGAATTCGGCCCTAAAATGGCGCTTAGGGCCTGAACATTGCAATATTTCCGGTTACCAGACGCACCCTAAGACATTCGATTCTGTTGAGGGCTCAAGTTTCGAATCGATTTGACAATATTAATATTTTTACAGTGCTGGACATTCAAATTTGGTACACTAAATATTTCACCGCACCGTTTTGTAGAAAGACTTGTTCGCAATATGACTAACTGTAAGTTCAATGCATTCCAACATTAAGGACGAGTTGTATGTTACCTTTGGATTTGACTGAAGAGTACAGGGGAATGCAGAATGCAAGGCCTAACGAAGTATCCATTATTACTAATGTAGTATTGTCCAATGAAATAATTTCGCACATATACTGTGTTTTGATTGGATATATTTTTATTCTCCCGCCAAAGCGCCAATTTAAATAATTTCAAGTCATTCTTTTACAATGGCGCGCATCATGTACCCGATAGCCTTCAAGCTTCAAGCGTTGGGTCTACTTGAGACAATGAACGACTATGAAGTCGCCACCGAGCTTGGTGTAGCACGGCGCACCATTCGAAACTGGCAAAGCAAACGCTCCGAACTCCTAGCCTACAAGGGTGGCAAGAAACGAATGAAGCTCAAACCTGGCCGCCGCCCAGGAGTATTTCCTGACCCACCCGGAATGCTTGAGTTCATCCATGAATTGAGGGACGCTGAACGTGCGCTTACCAAGATCCATATGGTCACCTGGATCAAGCGTAACCAGCGTGCATGGTTCGTATCGTACTTGGCAAACAAGAAGCCAGGCACTGGATACAACTCCTTCCTCCTCCTTCTCCGACGCTTTTCCGCTCGACTTTCGAGCAACGACCTGGTACAAGCAAACGGAGCCAGGAAGACCTGGAGGACACGCACGACATCTTTGAGGCAGAATTTCATCGTGAGTATCGTGACCATGAGTCAGAAAGCGTGTACAACGTAGACGAGACAGGTATATATTACGATATGCCGCCAAACTATATTTGGGCTGTTCGCGGTGGCAGCTCAAAGATCTCGTCGGGGGAGAAGCACTCCATGCGAATGACTGAAGCCTTGACTGCTAAAGCGGATGGAACGAAGGATCCTATTTTATTCATCATGAAGGGTGTACCTGGTGGCCGCATTGAGGCGAATGAGATTCCCACCTTTCCCGCAGGTCACTCCTACGCTGTTCAAGAAAAAGCCTGGATGGACGGTCGCGTTTGGAAGACTTACCTGCGCACGGTGCTGCATGACGACATCGAAGAAGTGTCCGTTATCCTAGCGGATTATTTCGAATCGAACGTGTCTGAGGCTTCCTACAAGATTATCAACGAAGAGCTTGGATCGCACCTCTGCCCATTGCCGCCGAATTCGACGTCCATGTGCCAACCCCTTGACGTCGGCGTGATGGCTCCTTTCAAGCGGCACCTACAGAAACTGTGGGTTTACGAAGACATCATCACGGGAGATGACGACGATCCATTTTCACTTACCACTCGTCAAAAACGGTTGGTCTTGATCAAGTGAGCCATCGCCGCTTGGGACATGGTGTCCACGGAGACGATTCGTGGCAGCTTTGAAAAGGCACTTCCTCAGGAACCAATGGATTGTCAATAATTCGCTTTTCTACGGTGTGTTTATATAATTAGATTTTTGTATGAGCCGCGATGATTTAAAAAAAATAGGAAAATGTTTGACACTCCCCGGGAATTGAACCCGGGGCCATTCCTGTAATAAACCATTGCGCCATCGCGTCAAACGCTTACCCTTGTTCCGTGTTTGCTGTATCAAATATAATTGGCACTCGATGATTAAATGGCCTGCCAAAATGCAAGAATTTGACTTCGACAATAAAA